TTGGCTAAAGAGGTTAAGATTCAGATATGCTTCTGTTTAGAAATGTAACCAAAGTACACAAAATGGTGCTTCCCTAGAGGAGAATAGAAAAGAAAAATGCTAACATTTTTAGGTGAAAACAGATGCACCAAAACCGCATGGCTGTCCACCAAGGAGTTTATGATAAAAAATGGACAAATATAAGAATTAAAGGAGCAGAGAGTTTAGGATACAGCATTGTCACAAGTATACTCCTATATTTTGTTTGGTGTGTCTTAAGTTTTTGGTATTTTCCTCTCTTTTTCTGGGCATGTAGCACTGCCACTTGAAATTTAATTTCAATCTTATTAATATTGTGCCCAAGCTTTGTTGGACTTATGTGGTCCTGAGGATGAGATACTGGCATTCAAACAGCCTATGACTCTGAGTTAGCAATAAACAAAATAAAACCCTATTTGTACAATAAGAAGTTTCAAGAAGTTCAGTAACTTATTTCCTTAGTGAATAAAACAATGTATAATTATTTTTGACTGAACTACCTCACTCTTTCCTTTCAACAAACTCTCCTCACTCATAAATCCCCCTTCCCCTTCTGCACTGAGGTTTCTGTCAGCTTCTCTCTCATACATCTTCATAATACTTGACAATATTAGGTTTTAACTCTCTCTAGTTGCTAATATGTCCTTCAAATATTCTACTTTCTTCTTTAGAATATTAAATGCTTTCCACAACACTATGTGTGATTCTGATGAGAGGGCTGCCTCCTCAGGTTCTGCAGGGTGCTGAATGACCACAACTCTGATTGTTAACTGCTGACGGAGTGCTGGATCTATTCACACAGTTCCAAGCCCCACTCATATAATGTCAGTCACCCATTAATGACATCACTTATCACTTACTCACCCCCTTTTTTACTCTCCTTGCTCTTCTGAAACTTATCAACATTTAAAGGAACACACTCATAACACTTTAAATCATTGCAGGCATACATTCAGACCCTTTGACTTTACTTTTTTATATTCATGAGAGCATTTCTCTGGGTGTCAGAAAACCAATCATTTCTATAGTTACTACAGTTAGGGCAGCATATGCAAAATTGGAAGCAAGCAAAAGTACCAAACAATAAAAGGAATTGTTAAAATATGGGGATACGCAGTGATGGTGGAAATAACAAATTATTTTTGTGTTAAGGAGATGAAACCCAGATGGAATTGCTTTATTTAAAAATGGACACCATTTATTAATTTTTGCAATGCTGAAGTGGTTTGTAAGTAAATGTATATAACACTCCTTTAGTGTGTTATGAATATTTATATATTATTTATTGCAACAATAAAATCTGTTAAACTGCAGCTCCCCCTCGCTTGTTTTAAAAAGAAACAATTACCTCCATTCCAATGCACACGTTTGCTGGAAGTTATGGTAATGCAGAAGAAAACATTACTACGTTTGCTTTCCAAACTGCACACTGAATCTGTACAATCTACTCAAGGTACCCCTCTTACTACAGCCAATGTTCTTTCTGCCTATACCATGCAGAAAGAAGCACTGGTACTGGGTAGGGATGAATGGCTTAGTTAATTTCTGCTCAAGTCAATTTCACTTGTGTTGGGTCCCACTTCTGCAATGATCTTTAATTTTAAAACTGCACATAACTTCATTTTTAAATGCATATTTAACTATGTTCACTAAGGCTAACCAAACATCAATGTTTCCTTCCGTGCAGACAGTGGGACACACAGTCATTCCACAGAAATCTGGTCCATTCTTACCTGAACAGCTGTTTCAGAGCCACAGGAGAGTCAGTCAAATGGTAACAATATAAGAGTTACATGTGGATAAATGAAATATATTTAAGTAAGAGAGAACTGCACCAAGAACAATCCCTTTGGTATTTAAGCATACCACTGTGCAATAAACAGTACCAGTAGTTTTGTTGCTGAACTTAAAATGCCTTGCCTTATAACATATGAAGTACTAGAGATTCAATCTCGTTCTACACTGCTTGGACTTCTCCATTATGTTCACATTTGTGCCATATGGTTCCATATGCCCAGGAAGTTACTGCATTAGAAAATCTTGTAAGCACATTTTCAATTATAAGTGTCTGCCTAATCACCAGAAATATGAAGTAGCCCTAACTGAGGTTAGGATCATTTTAACCATCCCTCAATTTTTCCAGGGCTATGTTCTGCCTACCTAGACCATACTACTATATACATGTGCATAAATAGTAGCACATATTAGTAGTACATAGTATCAGTAAGTAGTATGTACATGCAATGTAGGTATGTATTACTACATAGTCAAAATGGAAAAATAACACCTAAGTTTCCTATTTGGTACAGTTCAGACTCATCCAAATGTAAGCTGTACAAAAAACATGCATGCATGTACAAGCAGGAATACATGCATGGAATATAATCCTTTTGCATGTTTACTCAAAAACTTGCCCCACTGTGTTCATAGTGACTTATTGCAGGTAAGCATGCAAAGGATTTCAGTTTTGGTAATCTTTCCGAGATGCTTACGTCTACCACTGCCAAGACTTGGGTAACATCTCTTTAAGTAGCAACCCATCAACACAACTCTACCAAAGGTTTAAGATAGTACCCAACATTTTTCTCTGCAAGTATCACTCTTGGTCAACATATAGGGTATCCTTGCATTTAAATAGTAACTCTACAATGGTGCTGATGATGTCATGTGGTCATTTAACGCTCAGCAAATAATTAACCTTGATCGATATCTAGAGATATAAAACCATAAACTTGCAATCTTGCCATTTTGTAGGCATTAGAGTGCACAATGTTGTATCAGCACTGCAACAGAAGATCAAATATCAATAAAACATTCTAAGTAAGTCGGTTTGTAAGACAGTAAACACCTTCTACATGTTCTTGTTTTATCAGTTCTTTTCTTCTAGTTTTATTATTCATTACCATGCCTCTGCAATTCTGGCTAATTGCTAGAAAATATTGATGTACCATATTCACTGGGAAAGTACTCTGAGAGATGGCTGCCTACCTAAAAACAAAGGTAAAGGCACTTCCTACTATAGAATGAATAAGAACTATCCTTCCTTCCTTCCTTCCTTCCTTCCTTCCTTCCTTCCTTCCTTCCTTCCTTCCTAATAACCAGTCACTACCATGGACCTCTTTTTGCCTTAAATTGTATGGAACCACAGAGATCAAGTAAGATTATCTAGAAGATTAACCGAAAACAAGTTCTAGGCTTCTTTGCCTTCTTGTTTATTGCACCAAAGCAAGAATGTTGGTATAGGCAACTGTTCTTATATATGCAACTCCATGGCAGTGGAATTCGCAATTGCTTGTTCAGTCTTCTTTGAATACTTTAGTCCAACTAGAAAAGGTTTGGTGTAGATGGATTAAAGTGATTTTAAGACGGTTTCTTGAATTTTGTACCAGCTACCCAATTTTCACTTAGCTGCTCAAACCTATTTATTTCATTAAGCATCCAAATTCTACTCCCCCACCCATGATCTCCTAACACAGTAGATTAAGAGGTTAGAAGCACTGGTCTGAATTCATTACAGTAGGGAGGGACAGAGCAAACAGAAGATTAGCTTTTCAAAGCAATCTGACCATGACTGCAAGGTATATGCCCTCCAGAAATCTGCATGCACCTTCCGAGCAGGCCACTCTATGAACCAGAAAAGGGAAAATACTGAAGCAATTTCCCAGACACCAACTGCAGCACAGGATTTAAATGTAGTGAGACTGGATGCATACTGACAAGATACTGCAGCTTGGTTTTGGAACTGCACTGCTGTTTCATTATTCTGATTGTGTGTATGCATGTTTAATTGCTTTGGTTTATTTTACTAATTGTATTAGCTTGATCTTTGAAGGAAGAATGTTATAAACAATTTAAAATAAAATAGTGAACTAATTTCACAGATCTCTCCGTACATCAGCATATTCCAACTATGTTCAATGCTCAAAGGGTAATCTCTGGATCTGCCATCATAACTGGGCATTGGTGGCCTATGTAGGAATAATTGTTACAGGGAGTTCTACATAAACAATAAATACAGCCTATGAAAAACACAAAATTACATGCACAAATTTAGAAAGATAGTCTCACTGTTCTTTCTGAACATTTAAGACAGCTGAGATGGTGGCTGACAGATTTCAGATACTTGTTTTAAGAATTGCTTCCCATGAATTAGAGGAAAGATAGGCATATCTCTTGATTTGTGAATTCAATTTTCACACAATAACATCTGGAGTCTCAACTAATAACTATATCCAAGGAAGATGAACAACATCCAGATTGGATTACAGTTAAGATTCAGAATCTGACACATGCAGAAGGAAAAAAAGCATGAACATTCTTCCAGTGACATCATATCCAATTTCCAAGTTACAACTGCATAATAACTAGTTAAAATTATGCTAAGCATACAAAGAAATCCCATAGAAATACAAAGAACCAGCAGCCTTGGAAGGCATTTATTTCTTAACCACTGAATCATTCTCTCCAATATGGAATTGGGAGACAGAGTCAGAATATAACCAAATTTCAAAAGAAAAAAAAAGGTGAGTCTCAGTATGTCCTTAAAGCAACCACCTCATTTTGTCCTGCTGTACATTATTGCCACAAGAGATATCCTCATACTGGCACAAGAAGGAGCAAAACAATTTTCTTCATCAATGCAAACTGAATGTTACCGGAACGTGTTGTCCTGAATAAACTCTGTCGACTTTGCTATAAATGGAAGGAAATAAAATCAATAATATGTCTACTGGGGGTGGGGGGCAGGCTAGAGGATGAGAGTCACATTCACTGCATATATTACCTCATGAGTACGTTATACACAAACTTAGGTAAAGGGAACAGCAGAGAGAGAGAGAGAGAGAGAGGGAGAGAGAGAGAGAGGGAGAGACGCCCATCAGAGGTTTTTTTCCTCCTGGAAAGCTTGTGAAAATTATGGTAATTGTCAAGAACATTAATGTATGCAAAAGATGCAGAGGAAAAAAATGAAATCTATGACCTACCTTGTAGAAGAGCTCCATTTCTCTTGAAAAAGGTGCTTCCTGGCCAAATCGGTGGACCTGATGTGCTAGAGATAATTAAAAAAGTGTAAACAAAATTTACATTTATTGATTTGCAAGTCATCATATTTATACATCCATCTTCCTAAACTCCAGTATCTCTTATATTGTGTTCATAATCTAACAGTTTACTCCTGAAAAATAGGGTGTACTTTCTTCATTAAAAGCAATTGTTTAACAATCATAATATATTGGCAAACCCCCTGTCCCCAGCACTCAAGACAATGTCTACCCTTATGCATTTAATAAAGGGCAAAGGATATTGGATGGTCCCTACTGGATGACTGGCAAGGAAGTTATTAAAGTTCAACAAGTACTGCAGTGAACTTTCACAATGTCCAAGAGCTGGGATAGTTTCTAGAATTATAGCTTTTAGCTTGTCTGGAAGAACACCAGGGTTAATTACCTTGAAGAACTTTCCCTCAATTAGATTGCTTAGGTGAGGGCTATCCTTGCTGTGAGAACTGAAACTGTTGCTTTACTGAAGCAGTTTCACCTGCTTCTCTTGTCTCTCAGGAAGGGGCAGTGGTGGTCACCTTATGGTCTACTGACAACCTTTGCAGCAGAGGGAACCCGTAACATCCCTGACTGAAGCCTTTACCCTCTGTTCTCAACATGGGTAGAAGAGCTGGCAAGTCACTTGTTCAAGAACCCCCTGGGGTCTGTGGGGCATCCGCCTATTTATTCAGTAAATCAATACAGCCAGTGTGGAATGGGGGTTAGGGTTTTGGACTGGGAAGGTGGGAGGATCCAGGTTAGACTCCCCACTCAGCCATCAAAGTCACTGGGTGACTTTGGGTCAGTCACTCTCTCCCTAATATACCTAACAGGGTTGTTGTTGTTGTGAGGATAAAAATGGAGTGGAACAGAACTATGTAAGCTGCCTTGGGTTTCTTCTAGTCCAATAATACTAATGTTTAGACAGCAACAAGTCCTACAACTCCAAGCATGCCCCCTACCCGTTGTACAACATTTTTCTATTGGAACATGAAGAACATTTTCTAAATTTCTTTTTGCCAATAACTAAGTATTGAGAGATGCATGCCAAGCTTTTAAAATGGGGTACAGGAGGAGAGGCAAGCATACAAAACCCAGGAAAGTACCAAATGTTGGGTGGTTGTGGGAAATAGTGAGGCCAGCAAAGTGGACATGGCCCTCTGGGGGGCTCTAGAAAGCCAAACTGAGAGCTTAAGTGTAACAGAGTTTGTGCACCAGCCTGGGCATTTTCATTTCTTACATTCCTCTAAAACAAAAGAAATGACCCCCACTAGCATGTCCAGTTTATAAATGTTATTTTTTTTTCAAAAGAACTGAAATTAATTAAAATTCACACACACACACACTTTAAAATTTGAGATGTTTCAATATAAAACACCAGCTTCAGTCACAAATAAAGAGTATGCTATAGTGTCACTTACAAACTCAGCCAGAATCATATAGGAACAAGACAAACCTCAGTGAGGGAATATGGATTAACAATCAGCACTTGTATTCAACCGTCAGTCATGCCTCATTAATAAACATTGGGCTTGTTTCATCTCACCCTTTACATTGATATCATGTTTCAGTTGATCAATAACCATTTTAAAATCTGTCTCTGTTTACATTTAAAAATTATAATTTTTTAATGTTTAACTCTATTGAATTTATAAACTGGATGTGCTACCAGTGGTCATTTGTTTCATTCTGAAATGTTATCATGGGTGCTGCATCAAGTACATTTTAGTTGTTTCCTATAAGAAATATTGCTCCATTGGAGAAAATTTAAATGGCAGTTTTGAGCTCCCTCAATGTAGTAGACAAGTAGCCAGACAAGTGGGTCCTAGATCAAATCAAGTCAGAGCTTTTCCTACAAGCAAAAATGCCAAACTAAGGCTGTAATATTTTTGGCATACCACAAGAAGGTGAAGACCATCATGCTAGGGATTTGAAGACAGATGAATGGGAAAGCCAAATATGAGATGGATTGATTACTTAAAGAAAGCCACTACTTTGAATTTACAAGAGCTGAGGCAGGGCTGTCATGGATAGGAGAGTCTGGAGAGCTTTCATTCATAGGGTCATTGTAAGTTCGAAGCAACTTGATGGCAGATAGCAACAACAAAAATCAGTGTACTATTGTTAGCATCATGGCATGAGCTCACCGAGGGCCACTCACTCTTCTAAGACTCCCTTTAAACTTGGTAGTGGATGGTAAGAATCAGCATTTCTAGAGCATTTTGAAGGCAAGGACATTTGTCAGACCTATTGTGTCCCTAAGCTGTGAGAGCTTTCAGGTTAAAACCAGTATATATAATTGAGACCTGAAAAGCACCAGAAGCCAATAAAGATAATACAATGATTGGCATTCAGCCTGATTCCATTCAGTACTCTTGCCATGGTATTTTTTTTAGTAATGAAGTTCCCAGATTGCTTCAAAGAAAGCCCCCTGCACAACACATTGCAGTACATTTACTTATGTAATAGAATTCACAGTTAAACTCTAGGGCAGTCCATGTTTCTACAGACTTTAACTTCTATATTGTTCAATCACTGAAGCTCTCTGGATGGTTTGAACACAAACTATTCCAGTAATGGCTTTCTATAATCCAGATCAATGCATTTCTTGTACCAGCAAAAGAGACGCACAGTGGTTGTGAATGAGTCAGAACAGCTGTACGCATTATGTTCCAATCAGAACATGAGGCACCTTCAATTCAGTTTAAGTGTTAAAATTACATAATGGGGTGAAGGGCATAACAGGTAACACAGAAACCTATCTCTATGGACTGTAGAATACCATACTGAATTTCTCATGAAGGATCATCATACAACATGAGAGTAACTCCAAGGAAGTCACTATTTCAAGTTTAATATTAACTTGATTCCCATCACTTTTCTTATAACTATAAAATCAAGATCTGTTTAGAGGGAAGTGTGTTCCCATGTACAAAAAACCCATTCTCTCCTTCAGCCCAACAAAGGTTGGGGGACCAGTGGGTGTATGGACATTGAAGGCAAGGCCCAATAACATGACCCTTTCCCTGCATTCAGTCCACGTGCAGAGATAAGGACAGGCCTTGCTTCTTCCTTGTACTTACTGTTCCAACATCTGATGTTGCTGAAGATTCAGCTTATGATGTGTCAATTTAAACTGCTTGCAGAAACCTATTCACTACTTCTAAGACCTTCACACACTTTAGATTTTGCACTTCATATCAGAACTGAAGTGGTTTGTACTTAGGTATGCTACTCTCAGTTCAGCCAGAGAATGCTTTATGTATTCAGCCAGAGAACGCTTACGTGAATATAGATGCTACCCAAGGACCAAGAACAGGATGCCTAGTTCCCTTTTTCTTATCTACCAGGGTATTTCTAACATCTGACCATTATCAGCCCTAAATGAGACACTGCCAATGTCCACTCCTAATGCCTTTTTGGATGTAGGGAAACAATGTAAACCTCAATTGTGCATCTGGATTGTAGACTCTGAAAGAAAATATCATTTCTTCAATGTGTGTAGCACTGAGTGAACTGTCTAATTCGATACACAAAGATCTCTGGACAACCATACGAAATAAGCAAGAGAATTAGAAAAAGACAGTCTTTTAAAAGTTATATCAATCTTTGTTGTATGCCAAAGCCATTTCATCACACAGTGTCACTAGATTTAGGGCCAAACTATGTGGGCTTCACCCAATGTCAATAATATCACTGTAACTAGGATATAGGATATCCTAGGATAACTAGGATAACTAAGATAACTTGGATATCTTTTGATATCCAAGGAAGTACAGCTTAATTTCAGACTTGCTAAACACTATTTTGTATTCCATCAAGTAAGGAAAGACATTTGATCCTATAGACAAATGTAAACCCGACCAGTTATTTTCTTGGCTTTGCTGACATGAGGACTCTAAAAGTTTAATCCAGAAAGGTTTATGATCTGCCACATTATTGCTGAGTTCTATATTAACAGCCAGAATAAATTGTAGCCTAGAAAGTATATGGAAGCACAAATGCTCATCATCATCTTATAGAATGGTCATCTCATTGCCACCAATTTACACCACCTTTAGACTGATGATTCAGTTCAGCCTTCACACCACTACACAGGTTGTAATTATAGTAACAGCAGGTACATTAAAGAGCAGTAGCTTCTTCTCCAAATGGCAGGTGGGACCCACCTGCACCAAAGCGACTCCAGAGAGAGAGAGAGAGAGAGAGAGAGAGAGAGAGATATTGCACTCAGTATGAAAATACTACTTGCATCCACATTCTGATGCCAAATGATATCTATTAATATTTCAGGAGGAGTATCTATTGTCCAGTTTATTAAAATACAAATTAGGAGGAAACAGATGAAAATAGAATGCAAATATCCCTGCCCACCAAACGGTACTGACAGAATAAAACCACACTGTTTAGCAGACTTTGATACCAACGGCTACATGAAGAGCCAACTGAATGTAGAGACTGTGCAGTGTAGATTATACTCCAAGTCCCCATGTGGCTTGGCACATACTTGAAGCAAGTGGGGACTTGCTTCTGTTGGACCATAGCCTCCTTCTCCACTGTGCTCTCAAACACCTGTCTCTGAATACAATCTGCTGGGAAACATGAGCATGAGGGTGGTATTCTGCTCCTTGATGAGCTTCCCAAAGACATCTGCTTACCCTGTAGCAACTGTGTTCCATAGGCCCTTGGTCTGATCCAACAGTTCTTTTTATGTTCTTATTCCCTTGCTGATCTTGACATCTAGAACTGTTGGCCAGAACATTTCCATAGTGCTACATTTCTCTCTTTTTTCAATGTTGTCTTTGCATTCTGTATTTTCTCTGAAGCCTTTGTCATACATCTCCTGAAAATGATGTAACAGAATATATACTCCCTACTGTTTACTTTCACCTCCATCTTCTTGGACTTGCTCCATTTCCTCCCATATATTGAAATTTAGATTGTAAGTTTCTCCAGCCAGAGCCTTGATTACTTATTACTCTACAAAGCATCACTGCCTTACTGCAGATAT